CCCACATTCCCTCCATTGGTCACCTGACACATGTACCAAGGCCCCACCCCCGCATTCCTGCCATTGGTCAACTGGCACATGCACCAAGGCCCCTCACCCTCCCTAGACTCCTACCATTGGTCATTGGACATTTCACTCCCACATGACCCCACCTTACCACAGCCAATCAGAAACGATTTGATTCCTTGTTGCTGATTGGTTTGATTCATCATTGCCTACTTAAATCTGATACACAAAAATTATTGAATAAATTTTGTTTTCCAAATTTTCCTGGGCTTTCACCTGGGGATTTAAGAACAATTCTGTTGAGTTGTCAGCTCTGTGTTTCACACAGTGAGTCCTGTATCTACTCACTGTCACCATGTGATAGTTTGGCAGACAACTTGCTAATAAGCTAGAGATAGTAGGAACTGCCGATGTTGGAGAATCTGAGATAACAAGGTGTAGAGCTGGATGAACACAGCAGGCCAAGCAGCATCAGAGGAGCAGAGAGGCTGACGTTTCGGGCCTAGACCCTTCTTCAGAAAGCTACATTGGTCGATCACAGCCCTGTGGATTCACACAGCTCTGTCAAGGGTCTTTATTTATTCATTTATCCTTCGATTAAGACCATAAAATGTACAAGCAGAAGTAGGCCATTCAGCCCATTGAATCTGCTCTGTCAGTGAATGAGATCATGGCTGATCTGATCATCCTCAACTCCACTTCCCTGCCTTTTCCCCAGAACCCTCACACGTCTCATTGATTAAAAATCTATCTCAGCTTTGAGTATACTTAACGACCCAGCCTTGATAGCCCTCTGCAGTAAAGAATTTCACAGATTCACTACCCTCTGAGAGAAGAAATTCCTCCTCATTTCTATATTAAAAATGTGTGATCCCTATTCTGGTCCTAGACTCTCCTACAGAGAAACAACCTTTCCACATCTCCCCAGTCGAGTCCCTTGAACTCCAGACCCACATCAACATAGTTGGCTCTTAATGAACAAAGTTCTCTGCTGTATTGAAGGGCACTCATGATGGGTAATAAGGTGCTGCTCCAATCCCAGGAATTCCACTGGGAGTGTGATGGTAGTTAATGCGACAACAGCGTGTTTTGGAGGCAGTGACCAGACTTACCATCGCAGCCAGAATTGGGAGGAAGAGTGATGTTGTTGCAACATTGCTGGCACATTCTGTGAATGTAGCAATCAACAGGCAGAGGATGACAACTATAGCCCAGGATGGGACAGCCTCAAGAGGGGTCAGTTGTGCTCCAAGCCATTCAGAAAAGCCCGACTCCTAGAAAGCAAAGAAACAAAAAAACACTTAACAGTAAATTGTCAGCCCACTTGGTACAGGAGATGAAGTACTAGCCTGGATTAAGGATTGGTCAGTTAACAGAAAACAGAGAGTAGACATTGTTTTGATCCCAACTGATGATAATACAGGACAAGACATGTGCCAGAACGTATCCTTATTCTCTGTTCTTAAAAAACATTTACAGCCTCCTGTGAATACATATTAGTGACCAAGCAACACAATAACCAACCACAAATATTAAATGTGTGATGTGTGATAAATCAGAGTTAACATTGCAAGTTCACTGCACCCGAAACATTAACTCTGATTTGTCTCCACAGATGCTGCCAGACCAGCTGAGCTTTTCCAGCAACTTCTGTTTTTGTTCCTGATTTACAGCATCCGCAGTTCTTTCAGATTTTATTTTTGAAACATCACACATTTAATATTTGTGGTTGGTTATTGTGTTGCTTGGTCACTAATATGTATTCAGTGGAGGCTGTAAATGTTCTTTCAGAATAGAGAATAAGTTTATTGCACTAAAAAACAAAGACACATATAAAAGACAGTTAAAAGAACCCTTAGGACAAACAGCAAAATACAGTTTCAACTAGTTCCCCAACACTATCCTTTCACAAACTCTCAATTTCAGAGACATTTAACTCTTTTCTTGGTTTTTATTTAACTGACTCCTTCCAGTTTCTTTACTCTGAACTGTACAGACAATTGTACAATTCCTTTCTGAGTCGTCTGGAGTGTAAACGTTTCTCAATTCTGATGACCTGAACTTTTTCAGTTCTAACAACCTGAAGATTTCTGTCCAAACTCTCCTGGCTTAGAAGCTTCACGTACTGAACCATTTTACAATAGCAACTGGTTCCAGTAAACTATCAGCCTGATTCACATGCTAGCAAAAATTATTCTCCTTTTGAGCTGAGCTCCTGATTCTTCTAAACTGAAACTTTGAACCTTCTATGTTAAAGTCAAAACTAAACAAATGGTTTTCTAGACTGTTGTAAACTCAGCAGTGTAAATATTCCATCCATTGACACTACCTAGGAACTTGACAGGAGTCACATGTTTTCTTGAATTAGGTCACTTTTTCAAATGACTTTCTGAGAAAAACAAATCCTGACTCCCTTACTTTAAAAGTCAATCCTCAAATATAATATTTATTACACATTTCTTTTCTTAGACCATCTCAAAACCATTTTCAGGTTAGTAAGTTATAACAAGTGGACGCCCATGCAGATCATTGCTGCGTCTCAGCTATTCACAAACTATTATCGATGAGTTAGTTAAAGGGAGCTAATGTTTATTTGCAGAAACTGCAAGATGGTGTCTGAAAGCTAATTGTCGAGAGGAGGTAGAAGGGTCTGAGAAGGTGATATACACAGGTGAAGTGGATGGTCGGTAAATTTCTCCAAAGGGGTACAATGTAGGAAAATGTGAACATGTCCACTTTGGCAGAAAGAATAGAAAAGCAGCACAATATTTAAATAGAGAGAGGTGCACAGTTCAGAGATGCTCAGGGATCTGGGTGTCCTGGGACATGAACCACAGTATGTTGGTCCGCAGGGACAGCAAGTGATTAGGAATGCAAGTGGAATGTCGATGTTTATTGCAAAGGAATCAGAATGTAAGAATAGGGAAGTTTTACAGCAGCTGTAAAGGTAGAGTCACCAAAGCCCCATAGGGCTAATCTCTCCTTAGAGAGACAGAGAGAGAGGTGACCGGTGGTGGTTTAATCTGAGGGTCAAGCAAGGGGAGAGATTGAGACAGAAAGGCTTGCATAGCAACCTCAATCAGTGTGGTCACTGTTCGCACGGTGCCACATCACAAACCAGCTGTCCAGCCAACTGAGCTAAGCAACAGCCTTGCTGCAGCTGAGCAGGGCATCGGTGAGACCACATCTGTGTATAGATTTCACCTCCTTATTTGATAAAAGATTCCAAAACAGTTCAGCAAATATTGACAAAATGCATTCCTGAGATGATGTTGTGATGGAGGGTGGAGCAGGCTGGGCCTGTGTCTATCAGAGAGTCTAACAGGATGGGAGAGAATGGACACTGCGATGATGTTGCCCCTCACGGGCACCTTGTAACCAGAGTAATAAGAATAAGAGATCTCACTTTTAAGTGGAAGACGAGGAGAAATATTTTTTCTCTCAGCAAAGGTCGTAAATGTGTGGAATTCTCGACCCGAAAAAGATAGCAGAGGTCAGGTAATGGAACTTGTTGAGTGCAGAGATTGGAATTTGACAAATAAAGGAATCAGGATTTGTGAGAGGCAGATGGGAAAGTGAGTCGGCAGAGCAGACTCAAGAAGCTGAATGGCCTACTCCTAAGGCCTATGACCATACAACCACTTTGCCCATTCCCCTGTCCTTGAGAGTACGCCTCTAGTGGTAACGGATGGAGTTACCTCACTGCCTTTAGCCAGTGCAAAGCCCCCTCCCAGTAGCACGACGATATTCCAGGCTAGGTTGTCTTGAACAGTTTTCCAGTTCAGCAACGCAGGAGCAGGACCATATCTGTATCCATTACCTGGGAGGACACAAAATATTCGTCACTAGTTGCAGAAGGAAATGTGTTTCCTGGGGTGTGGAATAGGATTGTCTGAACCTCCCTCCCGATGCCTCTCCTTCCCTCCAATGCCAGTCACAAGGAGACAGGAGACCAAAACCATTTCCAACATGAATCCCTCTGGTGTCAAGAAATACCCTCTGTGGGAGCTGATGAGGCCATTCAGTCTCTGATAGCTGTATGAATGTGTAACCCAGTAGATCCCACACTCCTGTAGCCCTGACAGTGTCTTCCTTTCAGCTGGTTTCCCATTTTCCATTTGGATGCTGCAATTCCAGGCAGTGTGATCCAAATCACAGCAACTCACTACCTCCCCATCTCCTTCTCTGGTTCTTTGGCCCGTTACTTTATCCGTGTTCCTTGCCGGTGACCAAGCTTCCTGCCTCTGGGTGATGAGACAGGGTCCATTGGTACTCTAGGTCCACAGAAATCTTGTGGTTATGTAACGGATGGAAAAAAAAAATCAGATCCCATCTCCAGGCAGGTGAAGTGAATTCACTTTGAGAAACAGTAAGAAATTGGAACCAATGGAAGTGACTGTGAAGATGTCAGGTTGTTGTTGAAAGTCCATTGGGTTCACTCACGTCCTTTCGGGAAGGAAATCTGGGCCTATATGTGACTCCAGACCCACAGCGATGGGGCTCGCTCTGAAGTGCCTGCAGAAACGCCTGAGCAGGCACTCCATTTTATCGACATCGCTACCAGGGTTTCTAAATCGGGACTTGCCTCCTTACTGTAGAGTTATGTGCCCAATGAAGTACGGAGGGAGTGCTGCACTGCTGGAATAAGACCTTAAGCCTCTCTGAAATGGCTGTGAAAGGTTCTAAGGTCTCTATCCCGAGGCATGAGATCCCACTCTCTGGTCATCGCCAGATTGCTATTTGTGGGATCTTCCTGTGTGCCACATTTGCTACATGACAGCAATGCTCACACTTTAATCAGCATTTCCATTGGCTGGGTAGCTGTCTGGGACATTCAGGGTTTGTACCAGTCACTTTCAATCACAGACTTGTTACAGTGCAGCAGGAGGCCATTCAGCCCATTGCACCTGCACCAGTTCTTATAGCCTGTCCGGCTCTGTGACCTCATGCTAATCTCCTGCCTTTTCCCCATCTCCCTGCACACCATTTCTATCCAAATGACCATCCAGTTTCCCTCTTGAATGTCTCAGTGGAACCTGCCGCTACCATATTTCCAGGCTGTGCATTCCAGACCCTAACTATTTGCTAGGTGAAGAAGTTTCTTCTGATCTCACCCTTGCTTCGTTTACAAATCACTTTCAATCTATGTCCTCT